ACAATATGCTCTCATGCATTAATTCACAATAATCGGATACAACAAATATGCATTCATAATTCAACCTCATTAACTTTTCAAACAATGCACACATATTCACAATATGTTCTCATGCATTTACAATATCGCATATAATCGATATGCATTTACACTTCAATATCATTACCACATTTATCAAGCAATGCACACATATTCACAATATGTTCTCATGCATTCTTCACATACAAACAATATGCATATATTTGTCAAAAGACTATATTTCATAATCGATTCCACCATCTAGGATTCACGCCATACGGCTACCCACAGCATATCATATCACAACATGCACAAGCTATACGTTATATAACAAAAGTATTCTGCACAATAACACATCAATCACACACATTCGCGACGGTAAAAATCAATACAACAATATGTTTTCAATTTTCTGCTATAATTGAACTAGGTACAGGCCTCAAAGCCATTTTTTCTAGAAAGATAATCTCGTTAACTTACCAACACTTCGAACGGGGGTTAAAACCGACTTACGGTTCAAGAGTTATGAATTTTTGAAGTTTTCCGAAAAACCAGAATTTTGCCTAAACACGGCTACGGGATTTTGCATTTTCGCCCGAAAATCCGACCGATTCAATTCTTTTTTTCGAAACAAACACATACTCATACTCACCTAACATATAGCAATGAATTAGAACCATTAAACACGATTTCTACGACGTCCGATTTTCACTCAAATCTCAAACCCTCAATTATCCAAAAATGTCAAAACTCACAAACTCAACCAAATTCAATCAAACGAAATCTAATAATCACGGCTAAACATTACCCGACTAAACTATGCAATTTATTTTGAATTCTAACCGTTCAAAACTCAATTCTATCGATTTAACTCATTTGCCCTAGAAATAGAAAATAGAGAAAACTACCAACAAATCCAACACAACTCATACATAATCATACACATTGATCAAATAATAATGTTTCTCACCCTTACTTTGATTGGATTGAAGCTTGAAGTTGATTCTTGATGATTTCTCCAAGTTTCCCTCTTCTTTTCTCTTTTCTCCTCTTTCTCTATTCTTTCTCTCCTTTTCTTTCTTTCTTTCTCTTATGTTTCTATCTCTTTTCTTTTCTCTCCAATTTCCCTTATATATCCTTTTATTTTCTTTCCATCATAATTCTTCTCTCAAAAATATCTATCAATTCATTTCTCACAAAATATCTCATTTTATCATTAATTAGAGAATATCTAATAAATCCACATTATTCTACCAAGTAGAATAAATTAATTAAATCCATTAACTCATTTAAATAATCCAATAATTTATTTAAATCAGATAAATCACATAAACCAATTAATTAACACAATTAATCACTTATTGAAAAATTGGGCTGTTACACATAACACTTTGGGAGACTTACTTCACCATAAACCATTTCCTGCTGGATTTTTGAAAGTATCGGTTGATATTGCTTTAGAGGGGGGTGCGTTGTTGCCTATACCAGATGATGTTTCGGATGCAACAGTGGTGGGAGACGCAATAGGATCGTATGTTGCATGGCCGTCAAATCTCATTTTCATAGGTGATGAGGTAGGTTGAACACCATTATGAACCTTGTAGTATTCAAAGGTTTTACGACCCATACATGAAAGTTATTCTTACATTTACGTATCATTTATTTACATGATGATCTTAGACTCCTACAAAATCCAAATCAAAAGATAAGGGAATTGTGCGGTAAACCGATTCAGCTGCATCAAAAAAACAGGTACTACTACAGTTACATGATGATCTTATTATTATACATTAATTACTTAACTTATATGACTTTTAGGTTCATGCTCAACAGTTGCAACAAGTCAGCAATGGTAAGATGCCTGAATCTAGCAAGGTTCCCAACAAAAAACAGGCCGAGCCAAAAAAAGCATCTGTTCCTCGATTTGGGTTGTGCCTTGAAACATATGTAGGAACAATAGATGTGGCTGAGGGTGCATCCGTCAAATACCTATGGAGGAAGGTATTTTCGGTTTTGAATATGCCGAAACAATTGCAAAAGAGGATTTGGACCAAATTTTCCAACATTCTGAATTGGGCATCAGTGTTATGCATTCCTACATCTGGTACTCCGATCAATTTTAATTAAATAATTGAATAATTTATTTTCTCATTTAAATGAATATTCTAATGTTGATTATGTTTTTATTTAAGGTTCTTGTATGACAAGTTGTTGGTCCCGCATAATTTAACTTCAAGATTCACATTCTTATCTGCTAGCTGTATCAACTCACGGTCAATTGATCACACTCCAGATGTAATTAGGGATTACATGGTCCAAGTATTTATGACTGCAGATACAGAGAAGTTGTATTTTTTCCCATATAATACTGGCCATGGGTTAGATTTCATTCTAAATTCATTTATTATAATTATTCGTTTTTTGCCATTCTCTATAACATTTTCGTCTAAACTTTTGTCTTATTTTACAGTGGACACGGGTTGTTGGTTGCGGTTAATCCAATGAAAGAAATAGTGTATTATCTGGATTCATTGGATGGTGATCAAATAAAATATCCTGATATGAAGAAAATGGTTGATACGTAAGTGATGAGATATATTATATTGTTCTGAATAATTATCTTTATTTATTATGTGAGATTGTTCTAAATATTCATTTATATTATGTTAGAGATATACAAATATTCCAATCACAAAGAGAAGCAACAATGCCAAAAAGGAAGGCTAACAACATTAGCTGGATCAAAGTGTAGGTATATTTTCACAATTTTGACTGTTATAATGATTCTACTTGATAAAACTAGTTAAACTATATATCCTGATAAATATTCATTTGTTTTTTCCATTTACAGTGTCCTCGTCAGTGCAATGGGATTGATTGCAGATATTTTGTATTGAGGTTTATGAAGGAAATTATTCATTCGGGTCAAATAGAGATTCCAATCATGGTATGGATCAATTTATAAGTTATATGATTTATTTTAATATTTAACCGATATTTCATCTGAGTAATTAGTTTTAAAACTAAATCATGCATGTTATGTTATATTATGTAGTACTTTGATAAATTCAAGTGTGGTGCTTACTCGAAAGACAGATTGAAAGAGATTAAGGAGGAATGATGTCAATACATTCTTGAGTTGATAATTGTATAAGGTATATATATTGTCAAATATTCATGCGGGATAATTATATTTCTGGAAGTCGTATGTAGTTTTGGCGCTATATGTGTAGTACTGAATGTATTTGTAAAGTTATCAGTTTTGTAATTATATGTATAGTGACTGTATTTGTGAAGTTGTTTTGATGATCGTCTTGTGTTGAATTATAAGCAGGTTAATTTATGTGTTGAATTACAAAGATTATGGTATATATAAGGCCAAAGTGTTGAATTACAAAGATTATGGTATATATAAGGTCAAAGTGTTGAATTAAAGGCCTGAATTATAAGCAGGTTTATCGAAAAAAATATAAAAAATGGTGCAACATAATTCAAAAAACTCGTTTCTAAAATATATGAAGAATAGACAGCGCTTTTACTAAAAAAACGCTATGAAAAAGTGATTTTTTTAAAATTTATTTTTTTAAAGACGTGAAGAATAGACAACGTTTTTATTAAGAAAGCGCTGCTAAAGGGGGGCATAGAGAGCGCTAAAAAAGCGCTGCTAAAGGGGAGGAGGGGGGGGGGGGGGGGGCGAATAGAGAGCGCTTTTATGAAATTAGTTGATTAAAAAAGAACATTAACTGATTACTTGGCATGTTGTATTAGGAGAAGTGGAAGATTAAAAAAGAACATTAGTTGATTACTTATATCCTCTTTTGTAGTGTAAAATTATGAAATTAAAAGGGTAAATATGAAAGTGCATGCAATTAAGTTATAATGGATAGATAATTGATTTAATGCTATTGTTTTATATTTATTATTTAACTTTTGTCTAATTTAATTTTTATATATGAAATGAAATGAAAAGTTGTTATCCAAATATGATGAGTTTTATTGTTATTTAATAATTTGTGAATGACTAAATACAAAATATGTTGTCATCTATATGTATATGTATGACTCAATGAAAAAATAATAAAAATTCGAACAAACCGAATCGAATGAAACCACAATGGTCTGATTTGATTTAGTTTATTTCTAAAAGTAAACCGAACTAAATTAAACCACACATTTTTTTCCTCTTACACTTTAGATGATTTTTAGCTCAAAATCACCCAACTGCACTCCGAACACTCTTACTTGATTATAGCTGTCAAATTATTAATAGGACCTCTGAACTAATGAGAAAGAAGTAAGAATTAATTTGTTTAATTTTTGAATTTTGAATGAAATATAGAAATAAAAAATGAAGTTCGAGAGAGGAAAAAAAATTCAATTTTAAATTTTAAATTTTAAATTAAAAAATGAACACTTGTTGTAATAAGAGAAGTGGTAGCTTAGATGAGAATATTTGTTGATTACTGATGTATTTTTTTATCAGTGTAAAATTTTAAAATTAAAAAGAACAAAAATTAAAGTGCATGCAATTAAATTATGAGTTAAATATGTTTGTGGTTCTCCTAAATATTTCAATTTTTATTTTAATTTTTAAAAATATTTCTTTTAAAGAATGATTCTTCTATAATTTTTCATCCACACTTTTGATTCTTCTTACAAATTAGTGACGGTTTTTACAATTTAACAACAAAATTAACGATAATTTATTACTTAGCGATTAAATCAGCGACAGTTTTAATATTAAAAATTAAAAATGTGAATAAAATTTTTTATAAAAAATATTTTTTAAAAATACTATTTTAAAAGACTAAAAACGAAATTAAAATATTAAAGAGAACCACAAATCTATTTCACCCTTAAATTATAATATGTTGATAGTACATAGAATAGTAGGTAGTAGATGACAAAGATGGTAATAATAATATAAATTTGAAGGAGTTATTTGCAAGAGTGGAAATAGTAAAATCACGTCTGACACGAGAATGAGAGAAAATATAGTGTTGTTCGGAGATTCAATAACGCAGCAAGCTTTCCAAAATGGTTGGGGTTCTTCACTCGCCGATGCCTATTCTCGCAAGTTAACGTTTCTTTGTCCTCAAACTCTCTCAGATCAGATCCATTTTATGTATTTCTCTCTGTATATTGCAACTAACAAATCGGAAAATCAACTTAATTTTCAGGCTGATGTACTTCTTCGTGGCTACGGCGGTTACAACACTAGATGGGCCTTGTTCTTACTCAATCATATCTTCCCTCTCGTATGTTATCTAAATCAAATTACTCACTTGCCTTTTCCGATTCGACGGTTATTGATTTTGGCTTCATTTTCAGGGGTCCAGCAAACCGCCGGTTGCTACCACAATTTTCTTCGGTGCTAATGATGCGGCTATAGCCGGAAGAACCAGTGACAGACAACATGTACCTCTTCCAGAATTCAAACAAAACCTCCAAAAAATAGTCAACCACTTGAAGGTTCAATTTTCTAGATTCCGTCTATGTTCAATTTTGTACATTCCGCCAGCATTTTCGTGTAATTAGTGAAATGATTTCGATTTCTGATGATTTTCTAAGGTGCATTAGCACAGTTGGGTGTTGCACTGGATTAAGGAATAGCTGTTGTGTTGATTGAATCTTTCCTGTACTAAAAATTCTGTGCTTAGAATGAATTAAACTCATACATCTTAAAATGTCAATTACATTATAAGTTATTGATTGCAAATGAAAATCTGATTTCAGTCGAGCTCGCCAACTATGCTTATAGTGCTTATTACTCCACCTCCAGTTTGTGAGGAAGGGCGTCGAGCATTTGCCATGTAAGATTAATTGCTCCTTTCTAGTTAAATTTTGCATTTGTTTATGAACATTGTCTGGCGCCACTATTGGCTATTTGTGACATCTTATTGGTATCATTGAAAGAAACTATTCTTGATACCTTTTTTGTGTTGTTTATTATGCACTAATTGCTAAATTTAGTGCTAACCATTGTTATTACTGTTATTAGCACCACTGTTGCATCCGTATTTGTATTTTCTGAACCACCATTTGATTATTTATCTTCCTGTCATATATGCATCTAAAATATCTGACACGGTCTTTTTTGTTATACCTTGCACCCTCACAGTGCACTGTTGTTCTGTTCCTATCAGCTTCTAGTAAAATAATTGCGGTTATTTATTCCCAGTTTGTTAAATCTACCATTTTAAAACTGTCATGCAACTGTTCTGTTTCACGCCTTTGCTTAAGTATATGCTGTAATTTTTGTGGTATAAGATTTGCCAGTCAGCGAAATAGAGAATATTAGTTTTAAATTATTAACCATTTTATGTTAGTTTCATGTTCGAGTAGTTTTTATTGTGTCTTGCAGATCCTTATATGGTGATAATGCTCGTAAATTGTCCGAAAGAACAAATGAAGTTACCGGTGAATATGCAAAAGTATGTGTTGATACAGCTAAGGAAATGGGTGTGGCGTATATCGATTTATGGTCCAAAATGCAAGAAACAGATGGCTGGCAAAAGAAATTTTTAAGGTTTGTTGCAATCTTGACTAGAAGAAAAGCCTGACATAAGTTTAACCACCTTTTCTTGTTGATTAAAGCCAAAAAGCATCATGGATTTAGCTTGACTAAATCTGGTTATAGTATGATCCGGTTCTTAGTTAAGGGCATTGGTTTATCTTCTTATGAGTCTTGTTAATGATGTAATAAACTGCTTTCTTCTAACTATTTATTATGGGTGATTAAGATTGTTGTTTTGGTGTTACAGGGATGGGTTGCACCTGACAGTAGACGGAAATGAAGTTGTATATCAAGAAGTGATCAAGGTGTTCAATGAGGCAGGACTTTCTGCTGATAAAATGCCATTGGATTTTCCTCACCACTCTAAAATTGATCACAAAAATCCTGAGATCGCTTTCCAGCAGAATATTTGTGATGCCTCATTATAGAAGGGTTCTGGTTTAGTCTTGCATTTTTATCTACTCTCTTCTATTCACGGACTTGCTAGTTTTATTTTACTGATTTTTCTATCTAGTTAATGAGTTTCTTAATGAAATTGTGTACAAGTTTTTGATTCTGTTATTTAATAAAAGTTTGTTGCTTACTGCGTTTAATGTGTGGGGTGTATCTGTGTGTGACTTCAAATCATTCTAGTACTAACTAATAACTACTATTGAGTTGAAGACTTCAGAAATTAAAATGGACATTGAAACATGCAAATTTGCCTATTTTTCTCTCTATAGTTGTTGCCCTCTCACTCTTTCCAATTGTTCTAGCTGATCCATTAAGTAATTGGTCATTGACTTCAAATTGGGGGGTGAATAAGAGAGAGGTTTCCAACCCAGCCATAAATTTTGATAATCCCACTTCTTTACTTAATTTTAAATAATTTTTATACTTGAACGAATATGATTTTGTTCGGTTAAAATTAGAGAATTTTTTAAGGCATTTCATGAATTTCATTTCCATTGTGTGGTTTTCAACAAATATTTTTAAATTTCGGAGATATATCTTTGGATGCATTCCCATGACTTAATAATATTTTGGAAATATATCTCTGAAGCAATTTAAAATTTAAACGGTCATAGCATATCTCTCATAACCCGTTTCTATTTGAGTTTTTTCAGAGATGTATCTATACATCTCCGAAGTGTTTCATAATAGATTTTTTTATAAAAAAGTATAGTGTATTTGTTCGCAGATGAATTATAAAATAACAGACAAACCAAAATAACATAACAATATAGTAATAGGATGTCATACGTCACGTAAATCCAAAATGTAGTAACAATGTCAAGACAAACGTACAAACTATAACACTAAAACAAAAAATACAGATAACTACTGGGTGTGCCTGATAACCTCTCCTCTGCCTCCTCGGCCATCGCTCCCCCTGTTCTCGTGCGATGTCTGCGGTACAAAAGTGCCCTTGTGCCTCCGCAATAATGCCATCCAGTACTCGCCTGATAGCATACCCCTCAGGAAAGATACCCTAGTAAATGCTTGTCTGCGCCATCTCCACTATGCGACAACAACAAGGCAAGACATTCTCAGAATGATCCATCTGAGTCCGCTGCTCCTCTAAAATCTTCTGATGAGCGGGTCTGGGCGGATCTCATGGAGCAGTCGGCACCATGTACGGATGTGAGACCTTGAAGAACCACCTGATGTATCTGTCGACGTAGTTCCAGTCATTCAGCGCTATGGTAGCCCGACACTCATCCGGTACCGGATGACTCTGATAATCAACAAACATCTCCTCTATTAGTATATGAGTCAAGGTCGGAGGTGCAGAGACAACAGGGTGTCTGGGGATGGTCTAGGTGTACCTGAATTGCCGCATGACGCACTCGGACAGATGAGGAGCAGCGATACTCGACCTGTAGGCCATCCATCTGGAGTATAATGATATGTCGTTAAATGGCCGCGTTTGACGGTGATCCACGTAGCAGTTGAAGTGGATGTCCTCATCATCCAAGCGGTCAAGATAGACTCTGAAAGGCTCGGCCACTTGGCTCCCTCTCAGCGGGATAAAAGAATACACACGGGGCATCTCCTCAATATACTCACCCCAACACGATACAAGCTACATGAAACCATGTAAGCTTTGTACATACTGCAACTTTGTAGCAACAAACCAGACAAGTTCATAACTCCCCCTGTCACACATAGATAATAATCTCCCTCAAGGGAAAAACCCAAATCACAAGAGAAGAAACAAATATGAACTATCCAAGTTCACACATCATAAAAAAACATATCACAAAAAAATAAATAATGCCACGACATCTAGTCTGACATTACAGAACTAGTAGCAGCACAAACCTAGTAGTAGAACTCCCCCTCAAAAACACAACCCACTGTAGAGAAAATAAATTCTCCGAGATAAGACACACCATCACTCCTTATCATAAAGGACATTCTGAACTATCTCAGAGACACATGCAACTAGAAGGTCCTTCTTTCAACCACAGGCATGATAGACACTCATGTTCCCCCTCAATAGTTGCATACAACAAGCAACCATAAAGCACACTAAAACATGACATGATGTCATGACATCTGATCCAGCATAAGAAATGAAAAACATACTAACACTTTACTCTCCCTTTTTAGCCTAAAATTGACAAAAATAGAGTAAATTTAAAAAAACATAAATGGAAGCACACAGTAGCAATGACAACAAACAACTCTAACGGAAACACAAATCTAAATCATCTTCACGTAACCTTTCACATCTTGCCCCTATCAAAGATCCTTCTACACTCCTTAAAGCTGTCACATGTTTTAGAAGAATTGACACTCAATTCCCTTGCCACATCCTTAGAACATGTCTTCTTCAAGTCAGCCTTTCTACCTTGCACATAACTTTTGCTCCATCCTTTAACTATAATCAATTTCTTAGACTTATCAAGCATCAGAAAGTAGAGGGAAGATGCAGTATCTGTTTCAATAGAGTATCTTGCAATTAGATCCTTGGATTGGTTTGAATGACCCTTAATAGAGAGATCTAAAGTGACTTGAGAGTTATCTGATATAATGCTAGTGAAATTACAACTTTCTCTTTTTCCCGCCTTATCAGTCTGCACAGAGGATGTTTCAACATTGTCTTCAACATCTATTCTTTGTTCAGTAATTGATTCATCAATTACCACATTGAAGGATTCCATTATCATTCCAACACTGAAGTTAAAGACCCTATAAGCTCTGCTGCTTGATGAGTAACCCAAAAATATTCCTTCATCACTTATGGAATCCATCTCACTCTTTTGATCTTTGTTAGCCAAGACATAGCATTTACTTCCAAAAATATGAAAGTATTTGACTGTAGGTCTTTTTCCTTTCCATAGCTCATAGAGAGTAACTGAAGAGCCTGCCCTCAAGGTGACCCTATTATGAATATAACATGCAGTATTCATAGTTTCGTCCCAAAAGTGATATGGCAGTCGCTTATCATGAAGCATGACTCTAGCTGATTCTTGTATAGTTCTTGTCTTTTGCTCAATAGTTCCATCTTGTTGAGAAGAGATGGAAGAATAAAATTCATAACTGATGTTCTCAAACTCCTTGTCATGATAGCTTCTAACCTTGACAATCATACTATTTTGCTCCTTTTGAACATTTTGACATAAATCTTTAAAGGCTTCAAAAGTGTCAGATTTTTCTTTAAGAAAGTTCACCCATGCAAACCCTAAAAAATCATCAATAACTAGATAGACATGTTTCTTTCCATCCAAACTATCTGTCTGCATTGGTCCCATTAAGTCCATGTGAAGAGGTTCCATTATCTTGGAAGTAGTCTGATGTTGTAATATTGGAGATGACATAATGGATTTCTTCCTAATCTTACACTCACCACATACTTTCCCATCTTTGACCTTGAGTTATGGTATTCCTCTAATGGATCTTTCAGATATGATTTCCCTCATTCTGCTGAGATGAAGATGTCCAAGTTTCTAGTTCCATAGCTTTACTTCATCCTCATTCGTTACAGAACATGTGGAAGAGTAAGCAGTTATTTGAGGTTCCCACGGATAAAAGTTGTCTTTACACCTTATACCTTTCATCAGAACAATATTTTTTATCATTTTTGACAAGGCATTCTGTCTTTGAGAAATTAACTAATGATCCTTGGTCACATAACTGACTAATGCTAATGAGATTTACAGTTAGTCCTTTCACAAAGAGAACATCTTCTAAACTAGGTTATCCAACACACACCAGCTTTCCAACTCCTTTGATTTCAACTTTAAACCCATCCCCAAATCTGACATAACCTGTGGGATGAGGCTTGATATATACCAACAACTTCTGAACCCCTATCATATGTCTAGAGCATCCACTATTAAAGTATCAGTCTTCTCTAGTTGAGGTCCTCAAGGAAGTGTGAGCTATTAGGTTCTCATCCTTCTTTTTAGATCTTCTAATTTTGCTTACTTGATTAACCTTGGTATGAGCTGAAATTTTTGATTTCCATATAATTTATAACATAAAGACTTTATATGACCATACTCTCCATAGTAATGACATCTCCAACAAGATTGATAATTATTTGGAGGTTCATTATGTCTGCCAGAATGTTGTAACATGTGGTTAGACATCATGACCATCTTCTCCCTTTCAGAAGGAAATAACTTTTCTTCATACACTCTTCTTTATTTATTATTAGGTTGATAATGAACTTCTGCATCTCCAGTATGTTTTATTATTTCAGCCTTATTTTTCATCCTACTCAAGGAATCTGTCATGTCATAAAGCTTGGAATTTAAGAGAGTTCCCTCATTTTTAAGTTGAGAAATAGTACATAAGAGTTCCTTCTTCTCATTTTCAAATTCAGCTATGACCTTTCTCTGATTTGCATGTTTCTTAAGTCTTTCTTCACATTTGTCACAAGTTTCCTTGTAGGAAACATCCAAATCTTCATAGAGGACCTTTTCATCACAAGATTCTACTTCATCTGCCCATATGCCAGAGAGAGCAATAATAGGTTTGACAGTCTATGTGTTGGATTCATCTTCTGACTCATCATCATCAGACCAAGATACAGTCAAGCCCTTTTTCTTTTTCTTGAGATAGGTGGGACATTTTGGCCTAACGTGACCAAAACCTTCACACTCATAACACTGAATCCCTTTACTTTTATTTGATTTCTCTTTAGTTGTGGTATTCTTTTGAGAATAATAGTTATTCCTGATGTCAGATGTGATGTCCTTGACACCCGGTCTTCCCTTTCTGTCCATTCTCTTCAGAATTCTATTAAATTTCTTTTCAAGTAGAACAATGGTATTTGTCAGTCCCTCATCAATATCCAGGTTAGCTTGACCCTCTTTATCTTTAGCATTGGATACAAAAACAATGCTTTTGTTCTTCTTTTCAATTCTATCATTCATGGTCATTTCAAAAGTTTGAATGAAAAGTTACTTAAACACAAATCATTCCTTCCTATTTC